ATGGTTTTCCCATGTGCTGGCCGGTAGGTCGTGACATGTTGATCGGCCTGACGGGACTCTCAACTTGAGAAATGGAGTCCAAGTTACAAAAGGGAAAAGGAACAAGGAAAGAAACTGAGAATGAATAAACAATTCTTTATTATTTCTATCAAAGGCCAAAAAAAGACACCAGAAGGCCAGGGTTGGCTCACATTACCATATCACCCATCTTGTCTTTTCAGTGTATACAAGTCTATACTTTAGTGTCCTAGGGATGAATCTCCAAGGTAGGTAGAGTAGAGCAGGCCTGGCTCGCTCCATGCTTATGTATAGGCAAGCATGGGAAGGGTTCTGGACTTTTGGGGTTCACATCCATCATTGTCACTTTTACTACCTATGAGAGAATGCACGCACAAACATATATCTCCCGCTCTTGCTACAGATACATACATACATACATTCGAGCACACTCGAGGAGGCATTTGTGAATATCAACCTTTGTCTAACTTTTCAAACATGGCATGGTAGATGAAAGATATTTACAGGTATCTTTGACCATTTACCAGCGGTATCTTTCCTTTTCTCTAACAAAACCACTAAGCAGTCTGCAAGTACACTTGTTCCACTCGCAGCGCTATTCACTATTACAACTGACATTAGCGAGATGTCCAAAGCAGCTCCTACCTAACAATGAGTCGAATGTACAAGGCGAGGCTCTGGACGGGACATAGGGAACTGTCTGGAAACTGGTAAAGACTGGATTTCGGGAGGGTTGAAACTGATGGACAGTAGTAAAAACAAAAGTAAATCCAGATATATCCGACGTGTTTGTGTTCATCAGGACGGGAGGTAACGGGTTTCTGCGGGTAAGTTTCTCTTTAAACAGATGTACTTCCAACCGCTTTGTCATGATATGTGTAGGTCCCTAGGTAGATAGATAGGTAAGAAAGGTAAGAAAGGTATCTCTAGGTACTCAAGTGAGGTATACGTTGTACTAATGCTCTGGTCACTACTACTAGTACAGCTGTCAAAAGTACCATCCATGTAGGTAGGTATGCAGTCGGTGCAGATGAACATTTACATTGCCTCGGCCCGTCGGTTCCCGGATTCCGGGTCTTCGGGATTTGGCGACCGTTCGGCAATGCAACATGCAAGATGCAAGATGCATCCCTCCTCCCCCCCAAGCTTTTGAAAAGCTTATTTCAGCCTTGGCTACCTGTGCCTAGAGGTACCTTTTGCGGCTGTGCATAGGGTCTAGTGTCTACCTCACTTTTGCTGCTTGCCTAGAAAGGCAAGGTCCAGAACATGGAAGATGACTCCTTGAGATCGCTTGAGGCTTGGGGGTCACTAGTGTAGAGGGGGAATCTTGGCCATCACCTGGGTCTTATGACCATTGGATCTTCTGCAGCAGAGGGGATGCCACCGAGGTCATCACGGGACGGGACGAACAGGGTAAACGGGAGAAGAAGAAAAAAAAAAAAAAAAAAAAAAAAAGGGTAAGGTAGCTTCGGGACGTCGGGAGACGCACAGGCTATGCAGCTGTCGAGCGGTTAGTGTCAACCTTATTTCTGGGGACTGCTCAAACTTTATTTTGACGAGACTCGGTCTGGAGGGTAATGAGTTAGGTGTGCTTGTCCTCGCCATATTCACATCGTCAGATGGAGTTGTGTTTCGCAAGTTGTCAGTCACTTGGCTCTCACCTCGACACCTCCTATATAATTTTGCTATCAAAATTAAACTGCGGTTGAAGACTGTGTTTGTTAGCAGAGCCTTCCTGTTGGCATGTACTTAGCTGTCTTCACATGAACAATTTCTGCGTCGGTGGTTGCTCGACCTGGACACTCCTCCGTCGCTGTTTTCCTCTGGCCCCAAATCAGCCTGCAGCATGTCCCACCACTTCGTCGGAACTTGAACACCCGCTGAAGCCTTTCGCAAAGCGTGTATATATCCCTTGTCAATGTCTTGCTCATCACAGCAAGGTGCAATGCATGAGCATGTCGAATCCACAGGTTGCATCAAAATCCACAAACCCAATTTGCACAAGGTCGTACAATGCACAGCAATACATTGCACGATCGATTGACGACATGAACGCAATCTGTGTATTACCATTATGTGCGTTCGAAAACAGGGTGTCTGAGCGCAAGCAACGTGGGACGTGGTCAAAAAAAAAAAACAAAGAAAACGAACAGTCGTTCATCCGGTCTCCAGAAGTGCATCTAGACTCTCGTGGAGTTCGCACTACTCCAGGTTTTTTTTTTGTTTTGCGAACCAATGCGATCGAATGGGGCAGTGCACGCGTTCCCCAGATGGATGCTCCCAAAAAAAAGTCCCCCAAGATCACATGCGCCCCGGACTGAGTGGAGGGTTTTGCGGGGTGAAAACTGGAACTGGAACTGGAACTGGCTCGGGTATCGGTCGGGGGTCGCCTTCCGGCACTTCCTTGCGCCGCAACCAGTTTTTGCGAGGGAGCGCAGAGACCACCAGGTAGGTGGGTCGGGCCATGGCATCTGGGCCTGCCTGGGAAAGACAACCTACCTCTTAGGCACTGGGGCTTAGCACCGCCATCCAGGTTGTTCCAGACTTCCAGTCCATCGATCGAGAAGACCAGTCTATCGCTTTCAATTCACCGAGATGGCAACTGAACGAGGGCTTTGCGAAGAAGGAGGCAGAAAAAAAAAAACCCATAGCTCCATCGTTGACATTCAGAACTTGCAGCATTTTCATAGAGGTAATTATACGGACTGAAACAAGTCGTGGTTTCCAAGGCTTAACTGAAACCTGAATGGTCTCTCTCCAACCAAGTCCAGGCAGGCTTCCGTTGTCTTGAGCGGGCAGTCCCGGCAGTTCGCATTTGCTCCTCTCTGTTCTGTCTGCGCGCGGGCGCGAGCATCAAAGCTTGAGTCTGGGGTCTCCATTCTCCAACACCTGCTGGATCTTTCTTTCTTTTCCCCAGATACTTCACTTCATATGATGTCATGTGGGCTGGATAGTAGTACCAACGGACAGGAACCAGATCGAATCGAAACAGAGTATGTAGCAAAAAATAGCTTCATTGCAACCCGACCCGGTTGGCTGTTGGTTGTGTGGGCGTGCGTGGTCTGGACCTGGAGCATACATATGAGACTTTTGGGAGATGGAGATGGGGAGACACAACATCACATCGGAGGGTTTCCACAAGTCCACACACAGCACAAGACGCAGCCCCGACCGTTCTTTCCCTTTGGGGTGAAACCGTTGACGCTCCATCTCGCTACGATGGAGATGGCGATCAAAAAATACCGTGACAATAGTATCCAGATGTCCAAACTGGAACTCTGGGGGAGGAGTTAGGTTCCAGCCGGGAGCTATGTAACAATAAGAGCGGAGGAGGCTCCTCTTGTTTTCTCCACGCATCGAGAAAGATACGGTGTGGACTCCTGGTCGCTATTCTTTGCCTGCTGGCCAGATGGCACACGCGAGGCACACAGAACCGACCGGTGGGCAGAAACCTGGAGAAATGTCAGGGGCACGAAAAAGAATGCACCGGGGTTCGACCAGAAAATTTTTGACGAAAGGGAGGAGATATACCGAAATATCCGAGATAATATCTGGGGTGTGGTGGATGGTCCGGATTCTTGGGGAAGAAGAATGATACACAGGCCACGCGAGACAACGTTTGCTATCGGCCCTTCTCCATGTCCTGCTGATCGTTTCTTTAGTAGTATCGGATCTCAGTGCGAGATTAGATTCGGGTGCGAGATCAGATTCGGGTGGTTCGTCCGGTGGTTTGGTTCCTCCCCATGTTTTTGCAACTGTTTACCGACAATTGTGATTGTTGTTGATGTTGTTGTTGAATTTTCCTCTCACAAAATCCTTACTGCCCGGATTTTCCTAATCGCGCATGTCTCGGAGCGAGACCGTTGGAATAAGATATCGCTTGGTTCAGCCGGGGCTCTCATCATGGGACATGTCGTTGACTCGTTAGGAAAGTCTAGGACACACACTCTGGTGTGGAGCAGCTGGCGGTTCGGTGGTGCACGACTTGTCAGCTTCTTTCGGCGGCTCCCAGATCGTCGTGAAGCTGCCAGGAGGTCACCGGTTTTTCCGAGTTTTTCGTCGACCAGGAACCTGGAGCGTTCTGGAGGGGAGACGAGTCATTGATGCTTGACCGTCTCGCGGATACTGCGAGCTGGTTGGTGTTTTGTACAAGAACCCATCAGCCGGGAACTCCACCAGTTCATCCACCGCACATCCACACCAGAGCCACACGGCGCCACAAAAGGACCGAGTTTTCAAAAGCCCATCTGGTCTTCTTCTTGAATTTAGCCTAATTAGCTTTCATTTTACCCAATTGGCCCTCCTTACGTTACCTGACACATTCCGGTGGATTCCCCTCGGGCGTTTGGTCTCTTCTGGGCCTTGAAGCCATCGCGGACCCATCACCTCCTGAGCTATCCCGCATGGAACCCTAACCCGGATGCGCTTCTGTTTACTTTTCAGCGGGTCTGCAACGACCCCATCACAACCCCATGCTTTCCCATCCGACTGGGTCTTCCCCAGCCAGAGTCTAGATTCTCTGGGGATGGGCCTGGGGGGCTCCATTGCCATGAGGCTCTCCGGTGGCTTACTCCACACTCGCAAGCCACATTCAGCAGCCCTCAGCGAGTCAGACACTCTCCTCCTCCTCCAAGGCGGCTGGCGGTCCCTCCCACTGCATCCCCATGAATTCCAATTTCCCCGGCCTTTGCCTCTCCATGTCTCCCCGGGGGTTCGCCCAGGATGATCCTACACGGGGTTGGATGAGAGGTTCCAGGCCGTCTCGGAGTGCTTGCACACTAGCTCTGCATCTTCCTGCCCAAGTGCTGACTTCGCCTCCCCGGGCATCCATGCTTCCACAGCGCCGCCAGGGCCGGACTTGGGCGGGGATGGTCCGTAAGCATCTGGTCCAGTTTCTTGGTCTCGTGACAGTTTGAAGTCGTTCGCGATGCCGAAAGACGAACAGGAAATTGTCGGTGACCCCGGATCCATCAACACATTCTCGGTAGATCTGGGGGCGAAGGGGAGAGAGGGAAGAGTGGACACTGACAGGACAGGAAGCATGCAGTACATAAAGACCAAGCTTCGTCGTCTCGAAAGAAGCTTTTCTGTCATTCCTTAGCTGCATCATTATCTCCATCATCCTGACTCGACATTGCAATCTCTTTGCATTTCTTCTCCCGTCTTCCCGGAAACCCTTTCCCAAGAGAAACACTCGACAAGAACACTACCTACCAAGACGACACATCTCGACACAGCGACAAGCAAGATGGAGCACGATCACTCCGCCTCCGACATTGAGAAGGAGGCCGTCACTGTGGCCCGGCCACAGGGCGATGTCACCCGCGTTGAGGCTCCCGTTACCCTCAAGGCGTACATGATGTGCGTCTTTGCCGCTTTCGGCGGTATCTTCTTCGGCTACGACTCAGGTTACATCTCTGGTGTCATGGGCATGAAGTACTTTATCGAAACCATCAACGGACCCGGCGCCACCTTCCTGCCTTCCAAGGAAAAGTCGCTCATCACCTCCATTCTCTCTGCCGGTACCTTCTTTGGCGCCCTCATGGGCGGTGATCTCGCTGACTGGGTTGGTCGTCGTCCTACCATCATCTTCGGCTGCCTCGTCTTCATCGTCGGTGTTGTTCTCCAGACTGCCTCCCAGAGCTTGGGTCTCATCGTTGCCGGCCGTCTTGTCGCTGGTTTCGGTGTCGGTTTCGTCTCGGCCATTATCATCCTGTACATGTCTGAGATCGCGCCCCGCAAGGTCCGCGGTGCCATGGTGTCCGGCTACCAGTTCTGCATCTGCCTGGGTCTGCTCGTGGCCTCGTGCGTTGACTACGGCACCCAGAACCGCCCCGACAGCGGCTCTTACAGAATCCCGATTGGTCTCCAGATGGCCTGGGCCCTCATTCTTGCTATTGGTATCTTCTTCCTTCCTGAATCCCCTCGCTTCTTTGTTAAGAAGGGCAAGCTCGACAAAGCCGCCGGCGTGCTCTCCCGTCTGCGCGACCAGCCGCTCGATTCCGACTACGTTAGGGATGAACTTGCCGAGATTGTTGCCAACCACGAATTTGAAATGACCGTCGTCCCCTACGGCAACTACTTCCAGCAGTGGGCCAACTGCTTCCGCGGCTCCATCTGGCAGGGTGGTTCTTACCTCCGCCGCACCATTCTCGGCACTTCGATGCAGATGATGCAGCAGTGGACGGGAATCAACTTTATCTTTTACTTTGGCACCACCTTCTTCCAGCAGCTCGGCACCATTGACGACCCCTTCCTGATGTCTCTGGTCACTACTCTTGTCAACGTCTGCTCTACCCCCATCTCCTTCTATACTATGGAGAAGCTCGGCCGTCGTACCCTCCTCATCTGGGGCGCTCTCGGCATGCTGATCTGCGAGTTCATCGTCGCCATCGTTGGTACCTGCAAGCCGGATGATACCATGGCCATCAAGGCCATGCTCGCCTTCATCTGCATCTACATCTTCTTCTTTGCTACCACCTGGGGCCCTGCTTCCTGGGTCGTCATCGGCGAGGTTTTCCCTCTTCCCATTCGTGCCAAGGGTGTTGCCCTTTCCACCGCCTCCAACTGGCTCTGTAAGTCTTTTTTTTTTTTTTTTTTTTTTTTTCTCCTGTCCTGCTACCTTTTGAAAGTCTTTCTCAAAAATAGTTTGACTAACTCTTTTCCTCTTCTTCAGGGAACTGCATCATCGCCGTCATCACTCCCTACATGGTCGACGAGGACAAGGGCAACCTGGGCCCCAAGGTGTTCTACATCTGGGGTGGCCTCTGCACCTGCTGCTTCATCTATGCCTACCTGCTTGTGCCCGAGACCAAGGGCCTCACCCTCGAGCAGGTCGACCAAATGCTTTCCGAGTCTACCCCCCGCACCTCGGCCAAGTGGAAGCCTCACACCACTTATGCTGCTGAGATGGGCATGACCGAGAAGACTGTTGCTGGCCACGCTGAGAACCGCAGCGATAGCGAGTAAAGAAAAGAAAGAAAACACAAAACCAGAAGAAAGAAAGAAAGATGGATGAATGGATGGATGGACGATACCCCGATGTTTGCATGGTTGAAGGAACCATCACACTCACTGCAAAGTGGTGGGGATGGGACGCATATCTTGCTTTTAATTTTTTTTTATTATTTTTTTTTTGTTTTTTTGTCAATTTGGTCAGCATTTACGCTTTGCATGAGCAGCATGAGCAGCATGAGCATTCCAAGCGGGTTTATACTTGGGATACAAAACGGGGAGGGAAGGAATTGGGAAAACGGATTGCTCCTCTCTTTGGGATATATTTCTTACCTAATGTTTACAAGACAACCTCTGAAATGAGAAAGTTGATCACTCACAACATGATTTCGCTCGCAACTCTAGATGCGTGGAGGTGATTGAGAGCCGTGACTGACATATCTAAATGCCGCGCTGCCGATCGCCGCGTCTTCCTTCCCTTTTTTATCCCCCCTCCTAACTTCATCTCTGTGTGATGTTGGAGTGACGGATGAATGATTGGTTTATCCCCTCCTGAAGTTGGAGTTGAAGTTTTCCTTGGCAGAGATCAACATTTTCCAAACCCTTTCTATGGCTGCCAAGATAAGGCACTGTTGGAATAGTGCTATACTAGCCGGCTCTGCCGGTGTTGCCTAGCTTCACGTGCATTGTTTGGGGCCGTGTTATTCGGACACAGCTGAATTGTACGGTCATTCCGTGGAATGCCGACAGAACATGGCTTAACAGATGCTAACCAGTGTACAATTGATTAACAGGACACTATGATTTGACAGATCCAAAATCTGGTTTTCGAATTTGAGGGAAGGGTTTAAACCTAATTGAAAACTCGGTAAAGTGCTCTGAGGTTCCCCCAAAAGTAAGAAAGTATGGGATTGAGTAAAAATGGGAGCATGCACCTGCCGCTCAAGTTGCCATGTTAAGCTCTGTCTGTCTCTTTTCTGCCACCAGGGGACTGGAGCTCGGAGGATCCGTTCGTGCGCACAGTCCAGTGTTTGTACACTAACCGCGCAAGCTGAGTGCCGTGTAAGTCGCGCATCTGAACCAATCACAGCAACGTGATTCGACACCACTGACGCAATTAATTCTCCTTCTCCTCCAGCCAACCCGGCCCACATCTTTTCTCCTTTCAACAAATCAAGCGCTTCTTCACTCTTCGACAACATAATCGGTTGATCTCCCGCTTTGTTCATTGAATCTGGCGCATTTGGTTGGCCCAAGGCCTCCAACAGTCACCCCGATTGGGAAATGGTCTCAACCGTTTTGTTTGCACGGACATCTCGGCGATGATGTCAACAAGCGCTGGATCCAGTGACCTCATCAGCCAGCCGAGCCCTCTATTTGGGAAAAGCTGGGGTCCACTGAGGTCATAGCCTTACCATGAAGCGGACAGCCCGGCTCATGGGAATTTGGGTATTCCGGATGCTCACTTGTGAGGACCCCTTCCTTATATGTTCCTTGAAACGAAGGGATGGATGTGGAAGCATGGAAAGTATGACGCTGCTGCACGTCAGGACCGCATTGCACCCATTGGCATCCATGGTAGCGTCGGTACCTACTTATTGCCCTGGGGGAGGACTGTTTCTGCTCTCAGACATCTTCTTGGTTTCCCTCCTCTTTAATTGATCACTTCCCGTCTGTCATCCCATCCCCATCTCCCATATACCGCACATCTTGACGCCAATCACGATATTTTTTTTTCCTTTCTTTTTCTACATCCATCCCCCCAAACGTTCTGTGAGCCTGCTTGTGCCTAGATCATTAGCGCAGGGATATCAATTGGCTTGTGTTTTGTCTTGTCTCATCTGCTTCGTACCTTACCAATACCACATCTCCCATTATCAAGCTACCTAATACATCACCCTATTACTACGCTATCTACCTACGACTCCTCGATAATACAAACACAAGATGGCTACCACACACCGTGACCATCTTCCGGGCACCTACCCCGACTCTAACCCGGCCACCCCCAACGAGCAGGGCCTGGCGCCGCAGAACCAGAGCTACATCCAAAGCCACGACCAACGAAACAAGCTTCACAAGTCCACCGACCCCCGCTCCCATAACTTTTCCGACGCCCGCCTCGGCAACATCGAGTCCCAACCCATCGGAAACGAGTCTGACATCAGCCAGAGACACTTTAACCGTGACTATTCAGGCGAAGCCGTCGGTGGCGGCTTCTACAACCATGACAGCGGTCCGACCATATTCAACTCCCAGCACCCGCGTGTCTCCCAAGCCCCGCAGCGCACCCTCCAAATGGAGAACACCGACGGAGAGGCCGCCCTTGGAGACCAGCAAGAATATACTTTTTCCAAGCCTGTTCCGACCGTCGCCAAGGAGCAGGGCTTCCGCGAAGTTGACGCTCGTCAAGCTCCCGAACAGGGTGTCCATGAAGTCGGCTCTCGCCCCGAGGTTGACTCCCATCCCGAGGCGCGCCGCGCGAACGTGGCTACCTTCAGCCAAGGCGCCGCCGACGAGCAGCCTTCCAACATCCGCGACAAGTCCAGCAACGACGACGCCACCTCGCGCACTAGCCACACCAGCGGTACTGCTCCTTACTGGGGAGATCTTCCCAAGGCCTCCCAAGGCGGTATTTACAACACGGTCACCGGTCATGGCAGTGCTCGGGATGATCATGATGAGCACCATCACCTACCTCATAGGTCAGCAGAAGACTCTGACATCAGGTTGCACGTTACGGGCCTTGGTACTGACGTTCCAAGTGGTGGCGTTTACAACACTGTCGCGGGCCATGGAAGCAGCGACGAGGAGAGCAAGCGTCACCTGGAGGACAGCAACCACAATTATGATAACCTCAAGCTGAATATTCCCGAGAATGACCATGCCGGCGCAGCTACTATTAACAGCACTGAGGCTGTCTTTGATGCGCCATTGGCTGCTGTCCCCGAGGACAAGACGTGGGCTTCCAACAGCTTCTCTCAGGTACCCACTGGTGCTCCTGACGCTGGAACGGTGACAGGTACGGATCGCAAGGACATTGCTCCTGGCTTCCTGCCTGAGCTTGCTGCAGCAGATGATGCTAAGCTCCTCGCCGAGTCGGCTACTAAGAGAAAGGAACGTGCTGGCAGCACCGCTAACGACAATGTCTTTGATGCTCACGCTCATGGTAGCTACCGGAAGGACAGCACTACATCTGCTGGCTCCAACGCCCAGAACAGTGACGTCAAGGCCCAACGCGCTTTTCCCTTGACTTCCAAGCACGCGACCACTGCTGACGTCTCTATGGCCAAGGACGATGCTGGCTCGTCTCCCAACCAGCACCATTCGCGCCACAAGGATGCGTTTGTTGCGGGCGCTGCTGGTCTTGGTGCGGGTGCCGCCGCCTCCCATCTGGCCAAAAAGCACCAGGATGATGAGCTTCGCGAGATTAAGGACAGAAACGCCCAGAAAAACCTAGGAGAGGACACCCTTGCCAAGGAATGGGATACCGTCCCCGAGAATCTGGACCATCCTGCTCGCAACTATCCTCGTCATGCTGCCGCTGTCAGTCACAGAAGAAAGAGCCAGGAACTCAACGAGGCCGGCGTCATCCCCATCTCTGGCACCACGTTGGAGAAAGTGAAACACAAGGAGGAGGAGAAACCCCTTGGCGAAGATACCCTCAATGTTTGGGGCACCACCCCGGAGAACTTGCAAAAGCCCGCGACCCGTCACACTGCCCATGGCGTAAACGTCCAGCAGCCTGCCGCTGAGAACAGACTGGCGAAGCAGCCATCGCCTGCTGGAAGCAATAGCAGTGAGGGCTCCTCCAAGGGCGAGAAGAAGCACCGTGGTCTTCTCGGTATCTTCCACCGCCACAAGGACGACAAGGAAGAGAACACCACCGCCACTGAGTCCCCCAAGTCTCCCAAGGATAAAAGCCACAGTAAGCTGAAGAAGGATGCTGCTTTGGCCGGCACTGGAGCTGCTGCTGGCTACGGTCTTGCCCACCACCACAGCAAGGACGACAAGGACGCCGCCAACCAGCCCACCGAACTGGACCAGAACATGAAGCGCAGGGCTTCCGAGGCTGCTGCTCCTGTAGCTGTTTCCCACCGTCGGAACCCCAGTGACGCTCAGAGCGCGATCCCCCATGTTCCTGCAGTGGGCGCTACATCTGCTGGCGCCCCTTCCCACAGCCTTTCCCAGGCTCAGCGCGAACATGCTCCTGCCAGCAAGATCCCCGTCGCCGCGGATCACAACATCCACCACAGGATGAACAGCAACACGGCCCACGCTGGTATGGCTGGCGCCACTCTTGCTGGAGTCGCTGGTGGCATTGGTGCGGCCAAGTATGCTTCTGCCCACGATGACAAGGAGACCATTCATCCTGAGCAAGACGTCTCCCACGCCGCCAGTGGTGTAGGTGCCCCCGCTGCTGCTGGTACCGGTGCTGTAACTTCGGGCGGCTTGTATCACACTGAAAACCCGAGACAGCCTCCTACTGACTCTAGCACTAATCCTTCCGGGGTGAAGCCGAATGAGAATCTTGCCAGGAACACCGCCCAGGAACCCGGCTACAACGTCTTGATGTCCGGAACCCCCTCTGGTGTTCAACCCATGTCCACCCATGGTCATGACGGCAAGCATGCGAAGACTACCAATGAGCCTGGCAACTACAACCACCTCCACACGGGAACTCCTTCAGGCGTCGCAATGGACACTGCGAATGTAGGCCGTGCCCGTTCCGAGGATCAGCCTCGCACTACCCAGAAGCCAGGCAACTACAAGCATCTTGCTAGTGGCACTCCCTCCGGCGTCATGGCCGGTGCCACTTCCCAGCCCTCCGCTCGCCGTGCCTCCGAGGGTGTCAAGCGCAACGCTCCCGCCGCCGGTGGGAGTGATTCTGAGGAAGGTCTTTACAATGTCCTCTCATCCGGTACCCCTTCAGGCGTCAAGATTTCTCCCCGCCATTCCCGCCATAGCTCTCGCTCGTCTGAGCCCGTCATCCACGCCGACCACCAGGACAAGGACGGCATGTACCGGACTCTCGCCTCCGGCACTGCCACCGGCTTGAACGTTGCCGCCATGCACGAAAACCGTGACAAGGCCATGAAGGATGTTAAAGATGAGGTGCACGAGCAGAGCGCCATGAACACTTTGTCTTCCAAGTCCCGTGTCAACCAGCACAGCCTTCCCCCGGCTGAGTCGCAGCCTATTGCCGCCCTTTCGCCCGCTGAGCACCATAAGAACCAGGATACCGCAGCCGCCGCACCCACGCACCACACCACCGCCAGACGCACCCAAGACCAATACAAGCCCGTTCTCTCGGCCGAGCCTCCCCAGCAATTCATGTCCCCCGAAGTGATGCCTGACGCCTATACCACCTCGGTTCCTGGGCGCAACTCCGGTGCCGGATCTGGTCCCGCTCTCGCCCCCGCGGCCACGGAGCCCATGCGTGCCAAGCACATGAGTCCTATGGTGATGCCGGACGCCTATACTGCTTCTGCGCCTGGACATTCTGGGGCGGAGAAGATCAATAGCATCCCCGAGTCTACTGGCCATACTTATGGTTCCGCTGCTGCTCAGCCTGCTGAGGCTAAGCATATGAGCCCGGAAGAGATGCCGGCTGCTTATACCGCTTCCGCCCCGGGACATTCGGGTGCTGAGAAGCTCGCTGAGCCCAAGACCACGGCTCCGCGCTCCGACAAAAACCTTGCGCTGGCGGCAGCCAGTGGGGCTTGGGCTGCTCGTTCAACTCACAAGGGCGTGAGTGAGGGTTCTGATAAGGAACAGCGCATTCACAAGCCGGTGTTTCACAAGTGCCAACATTGTGGAAAGGATAACGACGTCAGTGATGTTTTGGATACAGTTTTGAAGGGTGAGAGTGGTCGTCAGTAATAGGGAGGATCAGGATACTTGGATTTGAGCTTTACGGCGGCTTTTTTTTGTTAGTTTTTGGATACCAGGAGGGAATTTTTGTTATTGAATTTATGCACTTATGACACTTGATGTTTGACGGACTTGAAGAATACCAATGGCATTTTAATGGCTGGCTATTAGTTGTAGCGGTCGTCTGACCGGTGGTTGTGGATAGCCACTCAGATGGATATTTTAGCTTGATTTCCTTTTCTTTCATGAGAATGTTACATGATCACTGCTGTATGCTTCACATCTCCTTCAAGCCTTGCGGGCGGGAATAATCGCGGATATTCTGCATGGAAGTAATCGACACGAAAGTCGTCGACATCAATGATCCTTTCGCCGACGTCTTCTGGCCGACCACGTCGACCACATTAACCGAATCGGCCCCGACCATCGACAGCCACGAATGAAATTTTTCCTTCGACGCACATACAAAACCCATGAGTTCCACCAGATTACAGTAGGCATGCAGTCGCAATGCGCTGTTCAGACGATAATCAGGTACATGACGGCTTCTTGACGTCACGACTTTGTGCAGCCGATCAATGGATCTACATTTGCGCTCTGCGGCTACGGCCCGTTCATGTCAAATGTTGGACAGGTGCGGCACGTACACAACTTATCTTTAACTCCTGCAGTACCTCAGGCCACAACATTTTTTTGTTTCGCTCGAGCCAAGATAGTTCATATCTTTTCAGTCTTAGTATTCTCTCTTACTTGCCAACAAACATCACCTTTACTCACTGTGACTTGGGTCACCCCTCATCCCTCAATCGCAAGGTCAAGCAAGATGGACGCCAAATCCCCCCACATCAAGAACCGCGACACTCCCCAATGGGGCCTCTACCAGCGGAATATGTTTTGGAGATACAACGATCGGGAACTGCCGCCTTTTAACACCCGTACGTCTTTCCTTGTTTTCTTGATTATTCACCTACCTCTCTCATCAACCAACCTCGATGGATGGCCGGTAACTAACCCTCCCCCTCCCCCCTCCTCTAAACAGACCCAGACGTCCTCGAACGCCTCGCCTCCCGCAAACTCTCGCAAAACGGCTGGCTCTACGCCTCGTCCAACGCCGGACTCTCCCACACCCACCTCGCCAACCGACAAGCCTTCTTCCGGCACAAGCTCGTGCCGAGACAACTAGTCGACACCAACGAGCGGTCCACGCGCACCTCTCTCTTTGACGGGAAATGGGAGGTCTCAGCCCCCTTTGGCATCGCGCCCGTGGGAATCAACAAGATCTACCACGATCAGGGAGAGCTGGCGGTTGCCAAGGCGGCGGGTGAGCTGGGGCTGGTGTATAGTTTGAGTACGGCGGGGAGTTTTCCCATTGAGGACGTCGGGAAGGCGAACGAAGAGGGGAGAGCCAACCGGTTCAAGGCCAATGAGAATTTAGATGTGGAAGGGGAAGGTGGGCATGAAAACTCGAAAAAAGTTCCCGAAGCGCCCCGGTTTTTCCAGCTCTACATGCCTCACGACAACGAGTTGACCCTGAGCTTGCTCAAGCGGGCGCACGAGTCCGGCTTCCAGGCGTGTATCCTGACCACGGACACGTCGCAGCTAGGGTGGCGACACGACGATGTCGCAACGAGCAACTATGCTTTTTACCGCGGCATCGGCGGAGAACTGGGTTTCACGGACCCCGTCTTTCAAAAGAGAATGGCCGAGGCCGGGGTTGACCCCCAGAAAGACGCCGTGAGGGCAGCGAGTATGTGGATCGACACCATCTGGCACGGCCGGGCGTGGTCGTGGGACAAGGCGGTTTGGGCGCGCGAGAAGTGGCAGGAGATTGCCGGGAAAGATAAACCTTTCTTGATCAAGGGAATTCAAAGCGTGAACGACGCCAAAAAGGCGGCGGACTTGGGGTTTGAGGGCGTGGTGGTGAGTAACCATGCGGGAAGACAGGTGGATGGGGCGGTGGGCAGTTTGGATGCCCTGGAGAGCATTGTCAAGGCCGTTGGGGAGAGGAGGGGGTTTACGGTCATGTTTGATAGTGGGGTGAGAGGGGCGGCGGACGTGATGAAGGCGCTGGCGCTGGGAGCCAAGTTTGTGTTTATTGGGAGACTGTGGATTTGGGGGTTGGCCATCATGGGGGAGGAAGGTGTGAGGCATGTGTTGAGGAGTCTGTTGGCGGATTTTGACATTTTGATGAATGTGATGGGGGTGAGGAGTGTGGACGAGATTGATGGGAGTCTCTTGGAGAGTGGGCCGAGGGTTTATGGGTTGTTGAATGAGAAGAGTAAGTTGTGAGATGGGGATGGTAGAATATGGCGGCAGAAGCCTATAAAATCTTGCTAGAGGTAGGAGGTAGGGTGTAGACAAAAACCATGAGCTGTTGACTCTCGAGGACCCACCTGTACGAAGAAGCTCAGGGGCTTTTTCCCGTTTGGGTACAAGTAAACAACCACGAGGAAAACATGATCCCCAGGTTTGATAGCGCGGGCAGAAAGGGACCTGGAAGAAGAGGAAATCAATTCCATCTAGAATTACCTAGATGGGACCCACTTCTCCGCCATGAAACATGTAGGTATCCATGTAGTGTAGCGGGGCAAACTGCTCCACCAACCAACTTTCAAGGATCCCTGGTTTGTCATTCCAGCGTGCATTCAGTGTTGCAGTTGGTTTGTCTTGTCCACATGTAACCCGAACCCTGAGATTTGTAGCTTCAAGTGACCCCCAGGCGCCACTGCAGTGCATTCATCTGTCTCGTGCATGACCCATGTCAGGTAAAGGTTGGGCGAAGCTGATTGTCGAACCTGCAGTGATCTGATGATCCATTCAGCAGCATTTGATTCCTTTCTTGCTGGCGGCAGCAGCTGTCCTTCATTTCCTTCGGGCAGTTCTCTCAGGTCCAGGCCGGCCCGATTTTGTTGCTCACCAACCACCAACACAATTCTCTATCTTTATTTTGACACCAGCAGTCAATTGCGCTTAGGTGGCTCCAATCCGCATCTGATTGCGCTTCTCTAAATTGAGGTCAAAAGTGGGCTAGACTAGTACATACTGTAGGTACATAGTCATCAACATCACCTGCAGAACGCAATCCTGGCCTCCACTTGGCAGCGGAGAAGAGGCCCGTCTGACATTACATGACAGCCAACAACTCCAAGCCAACGACACCTCACAGCTGGACTGACACCTGAGCCCGCTCACCTTCCCGCCGCCATCCATCGATCTGTCCCGTCATCTCCATCGCATCGTCTAGTGTAGGTTTTAGGTAGCCCTATGCATTACCTACCTAGTCAAAGAGCCAGTCAAGAGCGGCGACAATAGACTAGACCAACTAGAGAGGCCCTGATCATCAACTAGGCCCCCCCCATTCAACGGAGCTTTCCCCGGCCGCGACAAGGACAAGAACCCCCCAATCCACAAAGGTCCAGCCCAGCCCAGTCAGGTCTCTCATCGCCATCCCCAAGTGCTACCTTAGCCTCCTTTCTCACCGGCCGCTGCCCACTCACTGCTGTCAGTGCCCGTCGCATTCCCGCTGCGCGTCCAGCCTACTACCTAGTCAGGTAATCCTCCTCGCGACCCTCTTTCAGCTTCGACCTTCTCCGCTCTTCCATCTTCGATAGGATCCAGACCTCTCTCTGCTGTTGGAATACAACATGGCCGGCTTTCCTCCACGAAACCAACAGCACATCCAGCCCGATGAAGGCTACTCGGAAGACCCTCTGAACCCCCAGGCCAATTCCTCCTGCCTCAAATCCCGCGACGCCTCTCCTTGCGCCCATCCATCGTCGCGCCAAGCCTCAGACATTCCACCCTGGCTGATCCAACATATCTCGGGCCTCTCCATGGAAAACAAGACTGGTTGGCCCTCCTTTTCCCCTGTTTTTTTGTTTCAGTTTTCATCCAAATCGTCCAAAAACGAATCCAACTGACCAGTCGCGCTTCTCTCCTAGAACTCGCCATGGCACTCCTCAACGACCTCCCCACGAGCGTTATCTCGCAAATCGTCGAAACACAACTCTATCCCCGACTGTACATCGACTTTGTGCGCTATCTCCCAGCCGAAATATGCCTAAAGATTCTGGGGTACCTCGACCCCATCTCTCTCATCAATGTCGCCCGTGCCTGCCGAGTCTGGTACGAGCTTGCCATGGATCGAAAGCTGTGGCAGCATCTGTACTACATGGAGGGCTTCAAGGCGCTAATGGACGAGATCCATGCCGCCGAAGAAAAGATGAACCAGACTCCCATACCCACCCCCAGCCATTTAGAGCAATACCGGCCCGAAGAAGACGGACATGTTCACAAGAGGAGGGCCATTGCCAAAGCATCACCCCCTATGCTGCCCGCTGATGAGGATACCAAAGTGTTGCCCGCTGATGAGCCTTGTGATATCGACATGGCGGGCTCGAGTATCTTTGGTGGTGGTAGTGGTTGCGGCGTAGCCCGCTCGCGGATGAGTGAACACGGCGAGGTCAATGGGAGAGGAAGACGCGTGGACAAGGGAAAAGGACGGGCCATGAGCCCACCGCCGCAGCAGTCGGCTACCACCCGTTACAGAGACAGCATGTCTCACAGAACCCCCATCCTTGCTGGCACGTTGCAAAAGACGACTCTGTGGTGGTGGGATGCTAACGACCGCCGATACAAGATTGACTGGAAATATCTGTATACCATGCGCCGACGACTCGAGGCCAACTGGGAGCACGGAAAATACACAAACTTCCAGCTTCCCCACCCGAACTATCCTGAGGAAGGCCACCGCGAATGCATCTACAGTATTCAGTATAATCCCCAGTTTCTTGTCAGTGGCAGCAGGGATCTCACCATCAAGGTATGGGACATGAAGAGCAGGCGTTGTTTGCGGACGCTCAAGGGTCACCGTCGCTCCGTGCTCTGTCTTCAGTTCGACTCTAGCCCCGACGAGGACATAATCGTTTCTGGCAGCTCCGATTCTGATGTCATCATCTGGCGCTTTTCCACCGGAGAAATCATTGAGGTGCTCCGCCATGCCCACCAAGAATCCGTTCTCAACGTCAAGTTTGACAAGCGCATCCTGGTAACATGCTCCAAGGACAAAACCATCAAGGTCTTCAACCGAAGGCCGCTTCGCCATGGCGATCTAGGCTATCCCTTTGACCAGGTCGGTACAACTGTCAATATAGGCTACGACATCCCCCCGAGTATTGAGGACGCGCCTGTAATACCGCCGTGGACCATGATTGGCACCCTCGTGGGCCATAGCGCGGCTGTCAATGCAGTCCAGATTCACGAACGAGAAATTGTTTCGGCCAGTGGCGACCGATACATCAAGGTATGGGACTGGCCCACCCAAGACGTCCAGCGTACTATCATAGGACACCACAAGGGCATAGCCTGTGTACAGTATGATGGCCGACGTATTGTCAGCGGTAGCAGTGACAACGAAGTCAAGATTTTTGATTGCCAGACGGGTCTGGAGGTGACCACTCTGAAGGGCCACACAGCGCTGGTGCGGACAGTGCAGGCCGGGTTTGGCGACCATCCGTACAGCGTAGAGGAAGACTTGATCAAGGCCAAGGAGGTCGACCAGGCTTATTACAAGGCCGTGGAAGCAGGCGAGATTGACGAAAACGACAATCCGAGGACACGCCGCAAGACCAACGCCGGCTCTAGCAGACCGCAGGACGTTTGCGCGACTGGAGCCAAGCTACCGCCCGGCGGCGGCGGTGGCAGGTTTGGTCGTATCGTTAGTGGAAGCTACGACACCACCATTATCATCTGGAGGAGGGATTCGGAGGGTGTATGGCGGCCACAGCATCACCTCAGACATGAACAGGCTGCTGAAGCGGCTTCGAGACGAGACGACGGGCCGCCCGATGTGCCTGGCAGGATTCCGCTGCATCCGAGCATGCGTTCTGGGTTGGCTGCAGCGAGCATGCCCGCACCTATAAACCCTCATACAGCTGCTGGCTCCTCGCGGACTGCAAGTGCTCCTCCTGGGCCCCTGGCTGGAAGGGTGCCTGAGACAGTGGACCCAGCTGTCCTGCTTGAATACGAGCAGATGGTACACGGCGCTGTCCAAAGCGGCCCAACAGCTTTTAGAAATCTTCTTCAGGCTCACCCCGAGATTATTTCTCTACGTCACATGGTGGACCGAGCGCTCAACCGGCAGTCGGACCCGAACTTGCGGGCTCAGTTGCGAACTGCATGGACGGGAGCTCATATTCAGAATCAGTGGAACCACGGTCGGGCTCGAAGTAATCAAGAGAATGCCATGGCTGCTAACGCTGCCGTTGCTGCTGGCAGTAACGGCGTCATTGGGACCGGTACGGCAACGGCAACGGCGGCGGCAGCAGCACTGGCGGCAGGAGCAGCGGCAGGCCAGCCTGTCATCTCGCAAGCCTCGCTACCACAGGTGTCGGTCCCAGTTGCTCCAGCGGATGCTGTCACAGCAGCGCCTGCGCAACAGCCTCAACTCCCGCCTGTGGCAGGTGGGCGTCATCATCCGCACATCCCCGTAGCACCGGCTGAAGAAAATGCGCCCAGGGTGTTCAAGTTGCAGTACGATGCCCGGAGGATTATCTGTTGTAGTCAAACCAGTTACATCGTCGGGTGGGATTTCTGTAACGGCGACAAGGAGTTGGAGGAGGCTAGTCGGTTCTTTGACACGGTGCAGTAATGTGAATGTGTTTTAGGGGGGCAAGTTTTTTCTGATGTTTATGGTAGCACTCAGCTGTTTAGAACGGGACATCATAGTCAAATTTGGTCCAGTTTGGTAGTACAGATTGTATGGAGGGAGCACAGGCGTTGGATGGTTAGTGCCAGATCCCAAGATCATGGCAAGGAGTCTTGTTACCTAATTTTGCGAATGCGCATCATTGTTATCAGGTATTGTTTACAAACTGGACGGTAGTTGTGCGTTGGCCGTTCTGTCATGGATTTTATTTGACCATAGAGCATGGCAGAGTATACGCTCAATGGATGTGTCGTTCCGTGTCTCTTTCCACGCTCGTCTCTGTGATGTTGTGTATGCCTAGTTTCGCAACGAGAAAATGGCGACTATTCTACAACTCGGAGACACAACCTTCGGGTAAAGGCAATGGAAAGAAAACACCGCTTGTCTGTAATGCCGTCTTTTCGATTGGTATAACAACGATATGGTTCAACCGAACCATGTGCAAATGCATGCCCTCCCTCAGCTTCAACCTGAAATCATCAAGCCATAACTCCAATCCCAAAGCAACTTGTCGAACTCTCAAAACTAGGTCCCCAAAGCGGTCTAACCCAGCCCTTCCCATTATATGTCCCTCATCATCACCAGCCTGCCCTTCTAACCAGCAACCTCCTTGACCTTTCCTCCCACCTTGGGCTCCTCATCCACAAACTCGGGCACCTCATCCTGCATGAAACTTGGCACCGCTCCCGCCTCCATCCCACCATACATCTCCCTCTCCAACTCCACCTCCTGCCCCAACGCCTCCAGCTCGGCATCCAACTCGTCCTCATCCACATCCTCGGGCACCTCATAGCTCCTCGCCAATGACTCTTGGATCTCATTTCCGACGTCCAACAGATCCGCCATCTCGTCCTGCAACCGCTCAATCTTGTCGATGTCCACCTTGCCATACTCCTTTTTGAGCTGCTTGTTGGTCGTCTTGAGCGCGTCAATCGTCACCATGGTGTTCTTGAGGTTGTCCTGCATCGTCTGCGCCTGCTCCATGTTCCACACCTGCGACTGGATCTGGTCGCGCTGCGCCTCGTACTGCTTGCGCTGCCGCAACACCTTGAGCGCTTTTTGCTTGAGCGCCGTCTTGCCGGGCCCGTCGCGCATCTTGGCCAGCTTGGACTGGTAGCCGGATAGCTCGGCGGTGAGGGAGGCGAGCTTGACGTCGATGGAGGAGAGGCGCGTGTCGAGGGAGGAGATGGCGGTTGTGAGGGTGGGTTTGGGAGCGGTGGGTTTGGAGGAGGTGCCGAAGAGGCGGTTCATTTTGGCGGGTTTTGTAGGGTTCAAGTTGTTCCGTGAATTTTTGGAGGTTCCTGGTGTTGAGACGGCGGTGGAGGTGAATGTCGGTGTTCGGTGCTTGTTGGTGTTGTTGTTGTTGTTGTTGTTGTTACTGTTTGTTGTTGCGGGGAAGATCCATTGGCGGTTGCGACAGGCGAACGGTCGCTGATGACCCGACCGACCGACCGACCGCCTAAAGCGCTACTATGGAGTGCTGCTTATCCGCCGATGACGACTGCTGCGTGGGGCAGTGTGGCGCATGTGAGATGGTTTGAGTTCGTGGGGAAGGTGGAGCAGCTGGGTGAGGCTGGACCGCCCTATGGGGCTTGCTCGGTGGATTCCACTTGAGGGGGTGCCCCCGCCAACATGGCCCGGGGAAGTCGACTTCAACGCCAACCTAGTTACCCTAGGTACACTCAGGCTCTTTAACTCTTCTTTCCTATACAATATAGGTGGCTCGCGACCAGACGGATGATCAGTGGCATCAATGATCGGATATTTGTTTGCATCATCAGCAGAGAACTCTGCTTAGGGGTCCATCTTCCAAGTCACGGACGTACCTAGAGGTAGCCATGTCCCAACACAACGCACGCCGTGGACTGTCCGTGCGAGTGCAACAACAGGGCCGGTGGCCAGGATGAGGTACATTGTTGGCTGTCTGGCTTTTCTCTGACGCTCGTTGGAATGCCTGATCCGCCTTCGGATTTCGAAATATAACACCCGCCTCGGGATTGCGGCCATGTCTTCAGGCCTGGAGCTGAGTGATATTCACGCTAAACTGCCTTTTACCCCCAAGAATGTCAACGATGGACCACTTACAGCCTGATGGAAACTGCTCAAATCTCCTGATTTTCAACCGGAACATCTTCATGACGTCTCTACCATTAGTGTTACCATCTGTTGACCTTCCTATACGCTTGTTCGAATACGGCACTGAAAAGCTATCACCTGGCGAGGCAGTTGACCGGTATGTATACCACGTGTTGGGTAAGTGCTGCGGTTGTGACATCGACAGAGGATTGCAATGAGGATATCCAGAAAATGCCCAGCGGATCCGCGAGTGTTTCGGGGAGCGAAGTTGTTGTGGGGTTTATCGAAGTAGAAGTGCTAAGGTCACACAGGACCCCCTTTACTTTGCCGGTTCGTTTTCTCCATGCTGACCAAGTCTTGAAAGATGGATATGTCAAGATGAAGCGTGTGGTCACAACGGCTTGGAGAAGGTACCTACGTTGCATACACCTGGTTGCTCGTATTAGTGGACATCCACTATTCATATCAGTTCAGGATAGAGGATAATCAGTGGTTTCAATGAAGTTTTGAAGGACATCGGGCACTTGAGCGAATAGAGCAATTTGGATTCATCTCCATATCAAGAGCATGCAGAGGGAGATTGACTGTGACGAGTCAGCACAGCAATAGCCAGGTGAGTATATTGAACTCGGGAGCTCACAAAGCAGCGATTGTCGACATCTGATAACATGCTGACAACATCTTATTTCTGCTCTACAAGGACCTCATCTTTTCTTCGTGATGGCTAAGTACTCTATCAGATTATCGTCTCACTAGTGCTATTACTAGGCCTGGCGGTTCCTGAAGTTGAATCCTTTCGCATGAAGCCGGGGATCCCAAATCAACGCCAAGGATAGGAGGTGTGCACACCCTTTATAGGAAAGGAACTCATCCATGTACACTGACTCGAGCCTGACCACACGTGTTCGACGTACCGGTGGACGGAGCCAGGTAGTGCAAGTTCATCCAGACAGTCAGACCTCTAAGGGCCTTTGTGTTGGCGTCGATCATTGCCCGACCATGCACACCCTTGGGCTGTGCTGCAAAATCCCCAACCGAAGACTGGTTGTTGTGGCTTCAGGAACCCCAGATTTGCAGGATTCGTGGCTCCTTCCAGAGAGCATCTGGACGGTCTTGGCCTGGGGGGAAAGGCATGATCTACCATAGTCTATATTACAGGCTTTACACTGGCAAACGACCTCGGACTTGAAGCAACATCTCGCCCTGCACAGTACTGTAGGAGACTGTGTAGGAAAATGAAGACGCCGCTGACGCCGGGACAAACAATGTTGACGCTGTATGATGTAATCGTATTCTTTACTCAACCCTTCCCAAATCTACACCACCAAGAATCGGTTGGTTCGAGTTGAAGCGGTGACCGCATCTTCAATGGCACATGGACAAGTTGGTCTCGCCAAAGGTTTACCTGGTGTGAGGCTAGCTATCGCCCATCTCGTTAGGTACCTAGTAATCACGATGAAATGCTGACTACGTTGATACGGTACCTGCGCACCCGAACTTTTTTTCTAGTTTGACCTTCTCGCTCGCACTTGCATTGAACCGTTCGATAATCGGTAAAGAGCACTAGCATTTCTGTACACCAGACCCAAAGCCGACCAACATCCCGCTTCTCTACAGTTGTTCCGAAACCCGAGTCAAGTCACCGGCGACAGAAACAAGGCTTATCTCTTTTGCCCACGCCGCCCTCTCGGTGACCTCTTTGGGAGTAGTCTAGGTCCCTGCAGAAAAATGCAACGGCTGGCCGTCACCGTGTGCGAAAGACGTTACGGAAGACGGCATCAGATGCAGTGGCGGACACTGCGCTCTGTTGGGCAGTCTGTTGCCTAGGATAGTGGCTTTGGCGTGACACAAGATGGAGCAAAGGCTGTATTCGGCTCAGCTCTATGGGCCTTGGATGCCTTGGCACCCCATGCGCCTCCATTCACAGTCCACCATCTAGCGCGGGAAGCCTTATGCCAAGTATGTACCAACACATTATCAGTTCATGTCCAAAAAGGGACCTAGAATTTAACTATCAGCCATGGGTCTCGCGCGGGGTACTACACTGTTTAATGCATCAGGCGCAATATTTCACCTTTACGGCCTCGGGATGGTGACCGGAAACGGGTTCAGCTCAAAGAAGCGAAGGGTCATGTTTGTTCATATAAGAAAGGGGCTGCACGCCCAAGCAGCCGTAGGTAGTCGAGTATAACATTCAGCAGCACCTTGGTCACCTCACCTCACCCACTCCAACTCCTCAACCTCACAACCCAAACAACAACCAAGCCGGTCATCACAATGCGTTCCAACACTCTTCTCGTTGCCCTTGCGGCCACTGCTTCAGCTTCAGCTGTTCCCCAGCCCCGAGCTGAGGCTCCCGGCGCTCTGATCACCCCGGCCCCTATCTTCAAGGGTTCGGCTGTTCAGGGTGCCATCCGGGCGCATGGTCAGCAGGCAGAGGTTGTTGACAAGCGGGCCTATGAGGTTTCAGTGGAAATTTCGGGTTCGGGCAGCCAATTCACCAGCTGCGTTTACAGCATCAGCTCGGTGCTGAGGTCGATTCAAAACGCCGCCCCTTATCCCTCCGACACGGATCTGGCGTCTTGGATTCTTACAGCCGTTCCGGAGGAGTCCACCACGACGCTGGGTCTCAACGACGCCGGCAAAGCTTGCGAGACGTCGGATATGACGACCCCTGCCGTCCCTACGTCCTTGACCTCGGCCTTCTCGTCCTACGAGTCCGAGGCTGAGGCGTGGCTGACCGAGGCGGCTAAGGGCGCGAGCAGCGTGGCCGGTAACTGCCCTACCAAGGTCCGCGATTGGGTCGAGCTCTCCTTTGCCACGAATACTGCCGAGTGCAAGGCCATTGTCGCCAGGCTGCAGGGCAAAAGCGGCGCTGGTTTGAACTCTGGTGAGTGAACATGTCCACCTTGTTCTCCATGTACTAATACCGAATCCTTCCCAGCTCCCGTCTTGGCCGCCGTCGCTGCGTTTACCGGCCTCGTTGGCGTCTTGGCACTCTAAGAGCATCGCCAAAGAAGCCTGACATGATAGGTACCCTTGGTACAAGAAAACACGAATGATACGATAAAACTAGGTAATGGACGGATGAATGAGACGAACACGTTATCGTCGTTGGACAGTTGATTTCTTGATGCGTTGGATACATGGATGATGATGGAGGGATTCTTCTAACATGATAATACTGTGACGATATTCACGAGATACCTACCTCTATGCTACTACCAAATGCAGACATTGATGTGACTGGAATTGGGCTGGGAATGATTATGATATCGATTAAGGGAACGAATATTCACAGGGAACAGGAGTGATATGATGATCCGTATCCACCTTTCGGTAGTACATACCCACAGTACCTCCATCTAGCGTGCAGTGCAGCTTCCACTTGCACCGAGTGAGCACTGCGTATGTACCCCACTGTATGCATGTAAGGTACCTGCATGGCCGATGTACCTGCCTAGAGGCACCGACGAGTACCTCCCGATCCTAGAGGCACCTGACGGACGGATCATGATGTTCGATGCAGCGGGTAAACTGAAGAAGCAGGAACAAGGCTATCGCGACCGTCCCTGACATACTAAAAGGAAGGAACCCAGGGCTGTCAGGGAAGGAACTATCTCGGGTAGGTAAGCCAGGCAGCTGCTTGGGAGTTTGGTGGGCTCCCTGGTCACCTCTCCCGGCCGGCTACATATTCGGCGGACTGCCAGGTGCCCCTGGTTTCTTTAGCTTAGGCACTCCCCACCGTGACTAGGTACTGTGTACTGTAGACCTAGCTAATAATTAATAGTGTCGGGCACCTCTCCTTTACATCACATGTCTCCATTGCTTAGTGTACACTAGCACCTCCATCACCAACACAACTCGCCATACGAAATCCCGTTCTCGCTGTGGTTTCCCGCTAAAAGAAAAGCAAAGCAGAGACGGGTGAGAATCTGACAACTGGAGACGAATGACAGGACGGGAAAGCCTCCCTGCTGCCTGGAATGGGAATCAGGTAGCATCAATGTCGAGGGAAGAGGAAACTAGGTAACAACAACGAGCGTGCCCCTGTGGCGCGCCAGGTTGATTGTCCTGAGAGGCCCGGGCCAGTTAAAACCAGCCGGCTGACGCCCATTGAGTTAACCCCTGTCCAAGTCTTTGCTTAGTTTCGGGGCTTATACATCAGGCCAAGACCCCAAAAAGGTGACACCGCAATCTCGGGCGAGGACGACACCATGAGAGTGTGATTGACCACACCAATTACTAGCAAGTACCTCTCGGTACCAACTTATCCCAAGCAGGCTGGACCCAGTGGTGGACGGAAATGACATGACGGACCCCAAGGGAGAAGAATAAAAAGCAGTTTCTTTCCACAACACACACCATCATCACCGCCCACCCCTTAACCCGAAAAGACTGCACCAACACCAACAATGCATCTCCGAACCTTCACCACCCTCACGGCGGTAACCACTACCGTATCCGCGCTTGCTGCTCCTGCCCCCCTCGTTCACCACGCCGTCGCAGCGGTCGGACCTGAGGTCACCCAGCCCCCTTCTATCCAGGCTCGCCAGAATCACGGTACCTTCCGCGCCGAACCGCGTCCCAAATATGTCGACGCCAAAAAGCTTAAGAAGCGTGATGACGACCAGGTTCCCTCGGTCGACGACATCGACGTCGAATCCGACCATGAAGACGACGACTTCCCCACCGAACTCTCTCCCACCCTCAAGCCTCTCTACACCTCCTGCGCCTTAGCCTTCAACTCCCTCATGACCTCCGCCCCCGAGCCGTCTGGCAAGCTCGAAGACTGGTTGGAGACGGCCATCGTCGGAGACCCAGACAGCTGGACGGCCTCCTCCGCTAATCACGGCTACGCGGCCGTCTGCGGGACATACACCAGCCCCTTAACCCCGCCGGCGAGCTTGGCTTCGACCTACTCGGCCTACAGTTCCGCGAGCGCCAGTTATCTGTCAGCTCATCAAGCCGAAGTTACGAGCCTGGCGAACGCGTGCAAGCCGGTTTACGAGGATGTATTGTTCAGTCTTATGATGCCACATAAGGACTATGAGGAGTGCACGAGTGTCTATGATAATTATATGAGCGTCTATGTGAGCTTGGCCTGCGCGGCGAATACCCAGGATTGTTCCTTGACGAGCGCGTACCCGCCAAAGACGACCGGCACGGGGGCGGCGGCGACGACGACGACGACGACTCCTGCGGGGGCGGGAGTGACTGGTGCCAGTGGGAGTGGCAGCGCTGGTGCCTCGTCGACTACAGTTTCGGGGAATGTGGGCGCTCCCAAGCAAACCTTTGCCGCGGCTGCGGCGTTGGCTGGGCTTGTCGCTGCTGTTGCGGCGCTCTAGGTCTAGGGAGGAGGGAGGGTCTGTGATGTTGGGAAGAGGAAGTACACAATTGAGAAGCTGCGCGCACCTATTTGAGGAGATCTTTCACGCCCCCTCATAACAGCGACGGCTAGGGAAAAGAATTAGGGCTAGCAAGACTTGGAAAAATATAGGTAGCTTGATCTGTAATGTCTTAATGATGTAGGTATACTACATGATGGTTCATGCCTCACCTATTGTTCCCTGCCTCCCTGCTTACACCTACCTACTCAGTCTTTTCATGGCGCCCATTCTCAGTATCCGCGGCAGCACTGCTTCGCTCAGCTTCTGATTCACCCGGCGGCACCTGCTCGTTGCCATCCCGTTGTTGTTCCTGCTGTGAGTCCTCCCAAAGCGAAAGCGCCACCTCCCTCGCCAGTAACTTCGTCCTACCCTTCGCCCTCTCGCTCAACACCGCTCTCGCCCTAACGCCTCTCTTCCTCGCCATCGCCGTGCTCACCTTCAATCCCAACGGATCCTCCACAAACTCCACCGCCAACAAGACCGCCGAAACAACCAAAAACCCCATGACGACAAAAGCACCGCTCACCTCCAACGCAATGAACACGGTACTCCTATACCTGATCACCGCCACTACCCCTCCCACAATGGTACCAAGGATAATCAACATCCCCGGCTGTCCCCCGACCGCCAGCACTACCGCACTCAGCACAATCGGCCACAGCGCGTTCATGGTGTACCAGTACACCTGTGACACATGCAGCGGCATGCGCGTCCAGTTTTTAATAGCTATCGAAACCATAGCCAGGTGCTCGGTGTCGCCACCCCGAAAGGCGAGTTTGTACCAGGCAATGAGAAACGTGACGGTGTTGAGGGAGCGAGCGAACATGTGTTCGAGGGTGGCGAGGGCCCAGACTAAATAGCCGACTTTAACTGCCTCGAGTTTTCTTGTCCTCCACTTTTGCTCGTTCCTTCTTTTCATTTTGTTGTTCTCTTCTTCCGCCGCCGAGTCCGAGTCATCGTCAGATACCAAATGGAGCGTCGACATCGTCCCCCCAATGGCTTGGGAAGTGTCAGAAGGATCGGTAACTCCATCAACAGTCAGCGTAGCAATCGCCATCCCCCCAGCCACATCCCACACCAGCTTCTGCACAAACGAGAAGGCGTACCACCACCAACTGAATCCTAGCGCGTACTCGAGAAAGAAGGCCGGACTCCCCAACGCCAGGCGTAGGTCCTCCATGGGTGTGTACCACATCCAGTTGCCTAGCCAAGGACAGAGAATGGTGCGAATGTGATTCAAGAAGATGGCAATGAAGAGGTAAATAAAGGCGGAGACGTAGCCGGAGGAGAGCAGAGCGGCCTTGAGGAGTGGCCACCGGTCGTAGGCGCCGCCGGTGAATGCGCCGGCAGCAAAGTTGTCAAGGAACGTGGGGAGGCCGCTGTTGTCGGTGATTGTGGTGTCTGAATTGGTGCCGGTGTTGGCATTGGTAGAAGAGGGTTGAGACTGGGAGGAGGAGGAAGAGGAGGTGGTGGTGGTGGTGGTGGTGGTGGCAGGTCCGCGGAAGAGGCGAGAGAGGCGGGAGGGTATGAAGCGTGTGAGCATAGATCCCGCTCCCCCTCTTCCTTGGAGCTGGGGGAAAGTGGCAAAGGAGGAGGTACGTTGGGAGAGGAAGCGTATATCGTTGATGGTGTACGTTGTTGCTGGAGTATTGGAGCGCTGACAAAGATTTTTGGCCTTCTCCACGAAGGCAGCAGCACGTAGCCGATAAGGGGAGATGCTGAGAGTATGCGATTGGGCTGCATTCGTTGCCAGTTGATAGTCCACCGATGAGTTCTGGGTCTTGGGCTTGCTGGCGCGGGACCCCTCCTTTGTTAGTCGACTAAGAACCAGCAAGGCCGTGTCATAGTCGGGGTCGCTCGGTTCCTTGATGATTAAGGGGTTATGGGTGTTACCGTTGGGTAACTCGGACATAAAGGGGTAGCTGGCTATGCCTTCCATCAAGTTGGCAACATTCAAGAGAATGTCGAGTGGTAGCCAGCTGTCATACTCCTTCAGGAGCTCCTCGTAGATGGGCTTCTGAGCGATAATCACTGCGAGCGAGCGCAGGTCACGAGCTAGGTCGGCGAAGATGTAGACGAGTGTCGCTGTCAAACCGTTGGCATCGTCGTAGAACTGACGTAGTTTTCTGGGCACATGGTCGATCCATACTGTTTGTACCTTGGTGAGTGTGCTCGGGGGAGCTCCTAACTTCATCGGCACGTATTCGTTGGGGCGCCCTTCAAATCCCTGCCGGGCTTGATGCAAGCGGATACACCAAGTGGAAGAGCTTCCCGTTGCCAAGACGGATAGCAGATAAATGGGCCTCTCCAGCGCGTCCTGGGCCTGTTTGACAAGTCCCGTACACCAGACCCGATCTTCAGTTGCGGGTATGGAAATAGGGCCTGTCAAGAAGTCGTTGAGCACCAGTAGGAAGACCAAGGCATCGGTGATAACACCAATCATCATCATCTCAGCCACGGCACCTTCGTCAGGATCAGACAGGTTCCACCTGGCCACACTCCAGTGTCTGGTCCAGTGTGTCCAAGCGTAGAGCACCAGCGAGGACGTGGGGGAATTTTGGTCGTACACATGGCCCAACCGTAGAACGGTCCTGCTGATGATGACGGCGCATTGCCCAGTAACAATCATGTTTGCCTGCTGGACATTAAAACCCAGTCGCTGCACGGGTGCAGGTAGGTCTGAACTTCTTAGCTCAAACACGACCGTAGCCAGTTCGGGGTCGCTCAGGGTGACATTGTTGCGGCACGGGTTGCGAGTGTCCGGGTGAAAAGATACCAAGCCTCTGAGCAGGCCGGTGAGGGAAGCAATGGCGGTCTCCTCGTCGAAAGACACGCCCTTGTTGATGAATACATCAAGCTGGTCGCTGCCTCTGGTTGAGTGTGTTTGCTGTATCAGGAGGGCAAGCCAGAGCTCTTGGGACTGGATGGGGCGCGCGGAGACGCAGAGCCAGCAGAGAGCTATGCGGGCGAGGATGAATAGGTCTTCGTCTTTGATGGATTCGACAACCCGGCATATCTCCTGGTGAAGTCGATCACGCTTCTCGCTGTCCATGATAGATGTATATGAGAGAGGGAAACACGAAGGTGGTTACCTAATGGCCAGACGGGTGGGATCTGTTCTGGCTTTGCCATTTCAAGGATTGTTGCGAAGTAATGAAAAGGATGCTCATCTTTATAGACCCAAGCCGAGCAAGATGGCCATCTCTTCGGCTCTCGGCTGCAGCGAAATGGGGCTTTGACACCCATTGAAGTGCTGGGTAAGGCATATTGAAACACAATCGGAGCTCAGCCGCTTTCCCGGAGCCAATGGTTCTTGTTGATGGTCGTTACACTGCTTGCGCCACGAAATCGATAGTGCGGGGAGTGGAACGGGCGATGTCTTCAGTGACAGAAGCCACGGAAAGCTCGCGACAAGAGACTCGCAATGGCGTGTCATACGCAGCTTGGCGATACGTGCCAAATGCGGTAAGTGTTCCGAGACCTTCAACGTCCGCCGCGATCATTGATCAACGCATTTTCTTTCGCTAAGGGGCAAGTTGAGGAAGGAATGCAGTTGGGAAACAAGAACAACACAAGATAATGTCATCAGCTTGTATGCTAAATTACCGCCTCTCTCTGGCGCCTTGGTATCTGTCTCTCTGAAATGCGGTTGATCCAGCAACCAAATGGCATTATCGCAGTCGAGTGGCATCTTCCCGGAGCTCAAGGTCCTATCAATCTTTTGATCGTATCCAAATATGCAGCCAGATAGTAGTGAAAGTTTTAGGTCATAAGTCATACCGTCGTTAAATCATCATTCTGGGAAAAGTGCCTCCCTTTTCGTCTCGAATGTTCGATCCGTATGTCCCCGTTTACCCCGTCAATCCTTAAGCAATAACACCCATCTCCATGGTTTCCCCCGAACTCCCTCTCTTCTGACCGTCAACACTCTCCTTCCCCTTGTCAAGGGGCTGTACTTTCCGAGGGTCCTCCCTTACAAACGCACCGACATTTCCTCCATTGCCATCGCCCAGTCCAACCATTTCGGCCCCTTCCTTTCCGACTACCCCAAACTTGACAGTAACCGCACCCAAGTCGCTAGGCAGGTATGTCTTTGCTGCATCCGCTCCGGCTTGCTCACGCAGCCAGGGTGTTTGAGAACTCTTGAGCAGCTCGCAGGGCCCGGCGAGACGGAGGACGGGGATGGACTCGCGTGAGTGGGCGTGGCTCAGATAGAACGAGAGACACACAATAAGAGTAACCAAAAGGAGAGGCAGGAGAAGTAAGAGGAGGGAGCGCGATCGGGAGAGGAACTGGAGGGGATAAGTGGAGATAAGAAGTGCGGTGTTTTCGGTGGATTGGTTTTCAGACGCAGTGGTGGACTGTAAAAGAGCACCGATGGAAAGGTGGATGAATGACTCGATACCGTCGATAGTCCAGTTATTACGCTGGGGAGTTTGGCCGGTGTAGGCTACGGCGCGATTGGTGGAGGTGGAGTTGAAGAACATTGGCTGGGAGCCTGATACGCTAGGAGAGGAGAGGATGGGGGCAACAGCAAACCAGAGGAGAAGTTCGTTGAGAGCGGTTGAGGGGCGGGAGGTGTTGGTTTGAAGGGTATCGAGGGACGAGAGGGTCGGGAGAGCGGTGTTGTTCGAGTGAATCAACGGGTTGCCAACGGTGATAATGTCGTCGATAGCCGAAACAGTGACATCGCAACCTATCGCCGAGACGTTGTGCATGGTACCAAGCGCAATGGAGGACTGCTTGCCGCCTTCAATGGTTCCGTTGAGCGCGGCAAAGACAAGGGTCGCTTTGGTTCGGTGGGACGCCTCAAAGGTATAATTGTCGGCCCAAAGAGTCAACTGAGGTTGCGGGCGCACGTAGATCTCTGATGGGGTGCGTTTCTCGCCTCTTAGAGAGCTGGTGCTCGCGCGAGTCCAGTTGGTAAGGAAGGCGTTCGACGGCTGCCAGTATTGGACAAGCTGCTCAACAGAGCGTGGGCGACACAACACAGTTGTTTGCAGTTTGACGGCCCGAGCAGAAAAGTGTCCCTTGGTGCTGAGAACCCCCCGGTCAACATACCAATCCCGGTATGCTGGCAGAGGTTCCGAGGCTGGGTCCAAGGCCCACGCGTTGTACGTTGTCAGGACGCCCATGTTGGCAAAACTCGGTGCTTCGGTTTGCATGAATGATTCTGCGAACCCACCGCCAGGCGTGTAGTTGCTCTTGAGCTCTACCTCCTTCGACATCAATGTATACGCCTGGCCAACCAACGGTATTCCAGCGAGCGGTGTTAGAATGGCTGCTACCGCGAAAACGAGCATGAGTCCCATGGCAACCGTCTTGACTTCCATCAAGGCTCTCGGAGCAGCCAAGATAGACCCCCGCGTGGTCGCCAAGTATGCCTCCAGACCCCTCATTGGCATGGTCTGCTTGACCAACAGCGGCCATACCGCGGCCTCGCATAGCGCGAGGGCCACGTAGGCAAGTGCCCCCAGTCCGATAATGTACACGAGAGTGACGATACCCTGAACAGTTGGCAGGTGTTCGGCTGTCCATGGGTCGATTGTGCGACAATCTTCTGCCCAGTCTGGGCACTGAAGCGGTCGTTTGCTCGTGAGAGTGGCAAAGACAATGGCGGCAACGACAAAGACGATACCTGCAAGGAATACTGCTGGAAGAGAGAGGTGTCTTCCTACAAAGGCCCACCACCCAAGTCGCCGTGGTTTCGAGCTCGTGTCGAAAATGAAATTGTGATGTGAGGCAAGGCGATGAACCTCTCTGGGTGTCGGGGTAGCCATTGTCTCCTGCTCCGGATCTCCAGGCCGTTCTCGCTCTCGGTCGTAATACAGGGTGCTACCGCCAGTATCCGTGGACGGGCGGTAGGGGTTGGGGGCCGCGACTGGTTTGTAGCTGCTGTGACTGCTATCGTTGTGATGGTGGTAAGGAACCTGGCGATGATGGCCGTGGTGATGTGGGAGTGGTAGCGAGAGGTCCGAGTTGAACTCCTCCTTGAAGATAGACTGATGTGAGCGGTTGGAGCGCTGTGTGCGAGTGCGGAACAGCGAACCAGGACGCGAAGGCTCAGCCGCTGAGCCTGAAGATTCCAGTCCAAACATGGAGGCGTGTGGGTGTTTTTATGTTGCTTCAGAGAGCATTGGGTAGTGGCCTTGGTGGTGTGTCTGGGTGAAGACAGAAGACTGGAAAGGATGGGGCTCGCAAGGGGTAGTCGTCTCAAGTTACACCGTCCAGGCGCTTTTGACCTTTGTCCTCGTCAGTCAAGCACAGATGGGCTGAGAGAGAGAAAAAGAAGAAGATGGCAACGAGGGGTCATAGACACACGCGAGCAGGAAATCCCAGACAGACTAAACCAGCCGTTGTCCATAGAACCGACTTCGTTGAAGCCCACAAGTAAAACGTCCAGACCCTGCAGACATGCACAAGGATGGGGGCAGATAACTTGTTGGGCCTATGCAACCGCTCCATCGCTGCGATACGTGGCGGGTGGCTGTACCAATCGACAGGGGATTCGAAATCTGTCTTGGCCAGTCATTTCAGGCAGAGAGTTGTCAACCGGGACAAGTCCATGTCGAATCAGTCGAATCAGCTCATCTTGATGGATCCTCGCTCGCTCGTATCGCAGCCGTGATATTTTTGTATCTCGAAAGCTTTCAAAAAAAGCTGAAACAACAGAACTGCAGCCAAGAGCTTGTGGATAGACTCCACAGGAGGGAATTGTCCGGTGTTCTCGCGATGTTTCGTGGTGGACGAGAATGACGCGAATATTTTTTTTTAGGGGAAAGACAAAGGAAGTAAGTTCAGTTGACGTTGAAAGTGGACCGTGTGGTGTAAGCGGGGGCCACCTGTGGAGGCCGGGGAGTGACCGACCGCTGTCGCCAGCTCCACGGACAAAGAATTAACCTTTGTACAGCTGATGAAGGACCTTTTACTGTAGCAGACATTTCACCACGGCAACTCGGCGCGCACACACTCCACACTGCCTCCTCCTCCTCATCCGTCACTCAACTTTCACTCGCTCTCAGCCTTCCACCTTTTCACACTGCAACTTCAAGTCCAAACCACTTTCGCTTTCTTACAAGAAGTCCACGCAATCCACGGTTTGGTCACCCAGCTCTCCTTCATTTTCTCCGCAACTTCATCCAAGTTTGGGTGAACGACATAACGTCTCTCTTTTGACGACTCCACTTTCTTCACCTCATCATCATCCACAGCTGCAGAAAAGGCAAGACAACGCAACGGAGTCATGTCGACCCCGCAAGCTACTGGGGAGCCAATGGATGCGCTGGTGCAGAGCATCGCGAACCTTGTCAACACCACGGACGCACTGGCAGAGATTATCTCTCGCGTTACCAACAACGTCCCGGAAACTTCTCAAGCTGATGAAGCTTTCACAGTTGCGTTGGTCTATCTTGAAAATGTCAGAGGGCAGTTCCTCAACCTCGTCGCAAGCGCACAGGAGGCTGCCAGCTTGAATCAAGCGACCAAGCTGCAAATTCAACAGGCGACCAACCAGTTGGAGCAGTCGCAGAAGAAATTCAAGGACCAGCTGGAGCTGGACTCGAAGGAAATTGCGGAGCATATCAAGGAGCAGTTGATGCTAACTTCAAAAGAAATGGCAGAAAATGCCAACAAGGCCATCATGAATTCTTCAGGCGCCATGGCTGATCAGATCTACAACTTGGAGTACACTGTCAATGGGTTGGATCAATGCAATGAGGAGGTGCTCACCCAGTCAAAGGAAGTAAAGGACACATTGATCCAGTCAAAAGAGGCGGCCGTACTGACCATGGAGGAACTCAAGCTCGCCGCAGACGACATGAAGCGTGAGCGACTGCTGTTCAAGGACCAGCATGACCGTCTTGAGCAGAGGATCAAGGAGATGCATCAATTCCTGGAGGGCAAAGACGCCGAGAGCAAGGGCCTCAAGGCGCTTTACACCAAGCTGAGCTCACACGCAATTCGCAGTGTCCAAAACGCCACCAACTTCCGCGACGCGCAGTACAAGTTCCTCGTTGACGGGTTCGCTAGATTCGAGCAGAAGATCGCCTTCATTGCTCACCACATCAGCAGCAACAGCGCGAGCCCCGGCAAAGTCTCAAATGCCGTCACCACTAACGATGTATCCAAAGTTGACAAGACCAGCAAGAGCCCCAAGAGCAACATGATGGAGTACAAGATCACCGAGCTGCAAAAGACTATTAGAGACCTCGAGTATGAGCGCGACGTCCTCGCCGGCTCCAAGAAGCTTCTCGAACTTCGCCTCGCCAAGTTCGAGCAGGAAGCCCTCGCTCCCTCCTCGGCCGCACCCGTGCAACCCGTCGTCCCGGATACTCCCTGCCCGACCCTCAAATCCACCAGATCCAAGCGCAGCCTCACCGAGACCGGCGAACTTCTGGCCCAGCTGACCCTCTCCGGCTCAGAGACCACCACCACCACCACCGCCGTCGCCAGCGCCCGCCCCTCCGTCGAGAGCCTGATCCAGCCCGACCTGTGGGAACGCCTCATCTCTCCCGCTCTTCTCTCCGATGAAATCAAGCGTCGCCTGCGCCTCATTAAGCCGCAAGTCACCGGCGGTCTGCGTCTCGAGACGCTCTTCCTCCGCGTGGTCACCATCGCCGTCCACGCTCAGGCTTGGGAGAACTTTGGCTCCTTTTTGAAGGAGGGCACCATTTCGCAGTGGTACTGTATCGATGGCCTGGTGAAGAATGGTTGGCGCGGCTCGGTGATTTTGGTGGACCACGAGTGCGAGGGCCGCAAGGGAGAGGAGGGGAAGGGTGGCGAGTGCCTGAGGGTTATGCGCACCCAGTTGGATTACGGAAAGGTTATTTTTAGGCAAAGGAACTTTTAAGGAGGTGTGATGTCTGGGTGTAGCCTTTCCGGCCAGCTGGGGAGGGGGTGCCCTGGTGGTGGGGTGGTTCGGGGTGGGATGGGATGGGTAGGGTGGAGGGTCACTTTCTCTTCGTGGTCGGAGAAGATGCCCTGGCGGGATCGATCTCGAATTCTCTTTTCCATGAATATAGTATTGTAATAGGTTCCTCAGGGGTGGTTGGCTGCGAATGAGGCCTTCAAAGATGACTGCCTAGTGATGATTAATCGACGTTTCATGCTACCATGAAGTCTTTGATGCCTATGATGCGGTGATTATGTGTTTTATGTAGTAGTAAACGCGTGGCTAGATCTTGCAGATGCCCGACCATATCCTTTCCACACGTTGAATGTATATGACAAGGCATTATCGTGCATTTCGATGACCTTCTTGACGCCAATAATGGCATTCTTCCGTGATACAAAGGCATTCGATTACCACCAGGACGCGATTATAATCAAAAAAAAAAAAATCATAAGGTTTTTGATGCGTCGAAACCAAGCAGCGTAGTTCTCAATGAACTGATTATCATAATGAATCTATCTATGTGACAAGGGAGCCTGAGGCGTTGACGGGCCCTATGAAGCTGTGGGCAAAAGGCCGTAGCTTTTTGATGGGTCCCCAGCGGTTTCCCCGTGGGAAATCCTATGTCAGGTTGGGTCTAGCTACAATTCATAATTACATAGATATACACATAAGTAGCACGACTTTCCCGTTACTCTTCCTGGTTCTGAACGCCCTCATTCTCGCTTTTGCTGGATTGAAGCTCGTAGCGCTCCTTCAGTAAAACAAAGAGGTGCTCCTGAACCATCTCGCGGTGTCCTTTCTGGATACGAAGTAACTCGTCTTGGGGCCCGAACGGATAGGGGCCTCGCTTTTCCACCCTGATTTTGGCAGTCTGGTAAATCTTGTTATATGGCACAAGCTCAGCCATCCATTGGTTCTTGAAAACCATTATAGCTGAGGGTATAGACTCAGTATTTCTATCGATCCGCGTGGTGCTGCTTACGAGTGCATCCCAGGACTCATAGAGCTTCCCCATGAGGACCTGGGGATCTGAAGAAAATTCAGGGTCTCGGAAGAGCAAGAGCCGAGATGGGTTAGGATGCTGCCACAGCTTCAACTCGCTATAGGTCCATCTGGCCGTGCGTTTCTGGAGCGGTATAGTTTCAGCCAGTACATCTAGCTTTTTGGCGGCAGCTGCCAAGTGGAGAAAAGAGATAGCCGTTCGAATAGGTGGTAAATTGGCCCGTCGTATGATCAGCGTGTCAAATAGCTTGTTCTTTCCAGCTCTTGGGAGATCTGGGCAATTGTCGAGGACATGCTGTTGGGTATTACAGAAAGGGCAGCCATCCAGGTCACCCATATTGGACGGCGGCCCAAAGCAGTCGGCCAACTCATGACCGGGCCTTCTACAGGCTCTGTTGCCGCAGATTGTGTCATCAGACCCATTACCTCTTTCGGCTTGCGAATTGCTTTGTGCTACGGTAGGTACAGTCGTGCCCTGCGACTCTTGCTTTGCCTGAGAAGGTAGATGGACCTCTTGGCGATCAAGCACACTGGCCAGTGTCCTCAAAGGAAGGCCTGGCTGTTGCCTCTTGGATTGCGGGGCCAGAGCTGGAGGGTCGGTCGCATCGAGGCTACGCTTGGCCAAAGCACAATTTGTTTGAGTTGTTGACGTTGGGTGTGCCTCTGTTGCAGGCACCTCAGAGTGAGCTGGCTCTGTTTCCTCTTTTGATGGTTGGTCCACGTTGGCTTTTGTGATAGCAACGTCGAGAATATGCTTTTCTGAATCATGAATCTGTAGAGCTGCCGACTTGGGGTTCACCTCTGCTGCAGAGATCTGGGGACTGGGTCGCTCATTCTCCTCTCTCGACGGTTGGCTGATGTTGGTGCTCGCGGCAGTGACTGCCTGACGAGGCCCACCAGGAGCATTTGGAATCGGCACAGCACCAAAAATGACGGTTCCGCTGACCATCTGTCTCTCACGAAATCTTTCTGTTTGTTTGGCATGGTAGAAAATATCATACTCAGCAGAGAAGGGCCCAACGTGAGCTGACGGTTTGGTGTAATGAAACTTGTCGCCAAAGTCACCGCAGCCAAGAGCATATCCTGCAAGACAAACTTGGTTAGACTAGGGCAATATATATGAAGCAGTGTATGTAAATAAAAACGACGAGTGTTGATTGAATGGAACTGCGTGTAGGGAGCTTCTGATCCGATTGGGGAGTTGCGACAAGCTTCCACTTACCTCTCATCCACAAGCTGAAATCCAGCGCATAAAGATGTGCCGCAGTGGACACGCGACTCAGCCCGAGATTATAAAATCTCATCATTACGTCCTCGAACCCCTCGATGTAGCACTCGTGAATCCTGTTTGCGGCAGTGGCCTGCGCAAGGGTTACGCTTTCACCGCCGTGGGGTCGGAAAGGGTCTGGCAGTTGGCTTACACCGAAGTGGGTGCTCGCGATCCTACAGGCCACGAACCAGTGACGGTGGCGCTCGTCGTTATACTTAGTTGACGTTAAAATTCTGGTATACGTCGGTCTCGTTGATGACTGCCCGTCCAGAGGGCCCATCGCAACCAGCTCATTCATCATGTTGTCCATGATGCAATGGTCCAATGCAGACACCGGCGCCGAGAATGAATCTGGATTCATTCTGGCCCTGAGTATGTCGAAAGTTTAGAGCAAGGGATGTGGATCGTGATCGCAAAAACAGAGGAAGAGGGATAAGTGAAGAACGATGGTGAAGTTACCTCTAGGGAAGGGAGCACGAAGGTGAAGTTTGGGAATGGAGGGGTGCAGGTACGAAGGAGGAAAGGAGGACGTTTCCAGCTTTGCGATTGTACCCCGCGTACGTATTCAACTCGAAATCTGTACCTTTCCTTGGGCAGGTGGAGAACCGAAGTGAATGATGCGGATTTCGTCACATGTGAATGGTATGTTCTGGCTCTTGCTTCTGGCTCTTGCCGTGGGCAAACAGTGTCTGTATGGGTGGGCAAGACCAAGTCCCATAGCTACCCAGTACTTAAGGTCTGTGTTTGGACAGTACAGTCATCAGACCACCGTGGGGAAGACAGCGTAGTCGTCAGAGGTGAAGCGCGCCACTTCTGTTCGTAACTGCCCTCTTCCTTAGAAGAAGCGGTTCGTTCGAACCGGCCTTCGGGCATGCTTTGAACAACTTTTTGCACCTTTTGCCCTCTCATCCTTTTGACTACTTCTACTAACATCAAACCACCACTTATCCATCATTTGGTCTTGATTCAACTCCTTGACCCTTCTTACAATGATTGCATTTTTGGCCTTCCGTTCGTCAGTCGCTGCAGGAAGAGATATCTGTCGAGAAAGGAAATGGGAACTTGACAACTGCCGTTGAGTAATGCGTGCCAGACTAGTCGAAGTTGCTCTCCTCAGCTCTATAAGTTAGATATGCTGCATCAAAAGCCGCACTACCAGGGAAGGGTAAGAATGGGAGAATATCGGAGATAGAGCATGAAGGTGTACAATTAGGTCAACTTGCGCAACATAAAGGACGGGCGGAAACGGAAAACAAATGAAAAGAAATTGACCGGTGGATAAAGGAGTAAGCAGAAGGCAAAGCACACCAACTTCCAAGGATATGTTGAGGTGGTTGTGCGGAATTATTATTGAGTGTCTTCAATGTATTGTGGGTGTACGTAGGAGGAAAAGTGGGTGCACCCACCCCTATTCTCTAGAGGTAGTAGGCCTTTCAAGAAGACCTTCTCCATTGTTCATGAGTACTTCTACTGACCAAAATTCTATCTTCAAGCGCCACTCAGAGTGAACAAACCAGTGGAAGTTGTCTTTGATGATCTCGTCCCAAGTAAATGGTACGGATCGGCTCCAGGCTCCTGCCGTCTCTTGAGGCCAAGCAATTCTGATAGCTACCCGGTACTTAGAATGTATCTTTGGCAGTCACAATCACCAAGGGTGGCTGGCGCAGTTAGTACAAGGTGGGGTACCTCATCTGTCTGACTGTGGTCACTGCCCGCTACTTTCACGGAAGTGGTTCGTTCGATCCTGCCGAGCGGTTTCGAAACCTCTTTTTTTTACATATTATACACCACTTTTTACACTCATCTGTTTGGTCATTACAGGCAATCTTTTGCTTTCGTCCATTCAACAAATACTGTACCTAGTTCATTAGTCGTTGCAAAAAGAAAAAAAAAAAAAAAAAAAAAAAACCAAATTGGTGAGAAAGGAAATGGGAACTTAACAGCTACCTACCGTCGAGTAGCGCGTGCCCGGTACGTTGATGTTATTCTCATAGGCTCTATCTATCAAATGCACCCTGTCAGAGGGCGCGTTGCTGGAGCAGAAGAAGAGGAGATCGGAGGTAAAAGAGGAAGAAGGTGCATAATTGCCGCGCGTTTGAAGGGTCTTTTCCATGCCAGAACTTGGATAGATGGAAAAACATACCGAAACAGTTTCAAAACTTCCACTTTGTTTTCTACACCGGCCCGGAATTCGGTCACCGGCTGAGCTTTTCACAGTTGCAAAGAAAAGCAGGGCGCTATGAATGTAATCACCAGTCAAGAGAGCACTAGCCGGTTGACATGCTCAAAAGGAAGGGAAGAAAGAGAAACCAAATAAATGAAAAATTTACCGACGACGCAATAATAATTGAAAGGTGAAGTACACCAACTTCTAACGATATGCTCAAGGGTTGCGCGAAATTATCATCGAGTGTCCTGAACATTGTAGGGCGCCGCTACACCTAGATTTCCTGACTCTTCGAGGGAAAAAGACCTTCTCGATGATTTAAAGTTCACAAACACACTTTAACTAATCAAAACACCAAAGTTCCTTCCTGCCCGACCAATCTGCGTCAAGCAACATAAGAAAAAGCACAGTTCAAAGTACTACGACGACTCCAACTGACCCCTTTAAATGAAGCATCCACAATCCCACACAAGGTGAAGCCTACAGTATGCAAACGAAGGAAAAGGCCCATAAGAAAAACAGAAGAGAGTGAAAGTTTAGCTGCTACTTTATGAGTTAAGATACAAAAGAGAATGAAATTTTCGAGTCTTTAGTCACGCACATGGTGATCCGACCTTCCCATGTGTATGTATGTACTTGTTGTATTCTACCACCTAACAATCCTCATGGAACAACCAGACTGACAAACCCACAAGTAGTAACCTCTTTTTTCCCCCCAGATTCATTACGCTACTTGCTTGAGTGTTTGTCGCTAAGCCTCCCATATCGCCCTACCAACACCACCAGGACCCCCTACCGTGATCTCACCACTAACATCCGACAAGGCATCTTCGTACAAAGTCCCGGGTGTTGGCGAGGAGTTTTTCCGTAGTTGATCATGTGGTTGTTGTTCTTGTTGCTGTTCCTGCAATTGCTGCTGCTCAAGATCCAGATCCGTCGGCATCACCCCCACCCCCTTCCCACCACTCTCTTGCCTTCTTCCTCCCCCTTGTTCACTCCTCGTCGTCGTCGTCGTCGTCGTCGTCGTCTTCAAAGGCCAAGCCTCCTCCTCATTATTACCGCCACCTGAAGAAGAAGGATAATTGTACGACGGGGTACTCTCAATCTCAGCATGCCTTTCCTCCTCTCTTACCGCCTCGACCTCCTCTCGCGGGATAGAAAGGATTTCGACTTGTCGAACCATAAGAATTCCCGCGCGGGGCACAGGAAGCTCGGTCACTCCGAGAGCGGAGGCGGAGGCAGAGGAAGAGGAAGAGTCGCTTCTAAATGACTTTTTCACGTCCGCCGCAAGGTTGTTGGTGCCAATTTCTTTATCGCTGGCGCTGAATGACGAAGAAGAAGAAGACGACGAAGAGAAAGAGAATGATCGGGAAGAGCCGTCAGAATCCGCGGAGGACGACGAAGAGGAAGAGGAGGAGGAGGAGGAGAGCGAGGCGGTAGAGATGGTCGAGTGCCTGTTGAGGGTGGTTCCGATTGTACCGGCGGCGTTGTTCGCCACTTCGGCATCATTGATAGCAGCAGCGTCATGTGCCGGTGCCGGTGCCTGGGATGCGTAATCGTCGGAAAGGAGAAAAACCGGGTACCGCTGGCCATCAGGCCCATTACAGTACGTCACTGCAACAGCCTGCTCCCATCTTGCCGCCTCCGAATCAGTGGATTCCCCTCCATCTTGCGACTGTGCTTGCTGCTGTTGCTGCTCACGAGCCCTGTTGTTATCCGTGCTGGTGGACGAGGAAGGCGCACAATCGTAGGTACCGTCATTGTTGTCGTGCTGCTCCTCCACTACTGCTTCTTTGCCGTTGGTGCTGTCTGTATCTGAGCCGGTTGACTTTGTTGAAGCTAGTCTTGATGGGACAGTGAAGTGAGCAGCATAGCCACCACCACCACCACCGCCGCCGCCGCCACCGAAAAGTCTGGGAAGTCTTTCGCTGTTGCGCCCGGAAACGGCTGTGGCATGAGAATCAGCAGCGGCTGTACTACCACCACCGTGGTTATGATTGTTATGCGGATTTGACACCACAGCCATAACAGGCGCCGGCGCCGTCACCGTCTGTCCCGGCCTTGCATTAGTAAACATGACAGGCGGTACCTTGGCGCCGCGCAGGACAAACTTGGACTCGAGAATCTTGTCCATGCTGTGATGCTGGATGAAGAGACTGCAGATCAGCGCCGCCACCCCGGCGCCGGTGATGATCCAAAAGACGCCGTGGAAGCCGACAACGTACGCCTCGAGGGCGCCGACCCGCACGGGATCGTTGGGATCCATGAGCAGCATCTGCTGGACAAACTGCTCCGAGTTGTGGGCGATCTTGACGGGCAAACCGAGCTGCTCGAGCCGCTTGACCATGACGTTCTGGAATACCGTGCCGCCAATAGCGACGCCGAGCGACATGCCGAGCGTACGCATGAAGGCGTACATGGCCGCAGCGCTACCGGCGTCTTCGACCCGGCTGATGGCTTGGATGCCAACGTTGACGCTGGTCAGGAGCATGCCGTGACCGATGCCGAAGATGGCAAGAATCACAGCCCACACGGCGGTCTTGGTGTCTTGCTTCAGATAATGAAGCAGACCACATCCAATGGTGGCGAGCACCCAGCCGCTCCAGATGGACCAGCGGAAGTGCCCCAGGCGGGAGGTCATGAGCGAGATGACAATAGATCCCGGAAGAAGAAGGCAGGTGACGGGAAAAATGTTGAGGCCGGACTGCGTGGGTGAGGTGAAGCGGACGGCAGTAAAGTAGAAGGGCACATAGTAGAGGGCGCAGAATAGGATGAGACCCTGGAACAGGGCACAGCCGTAGGCGGCGATGGCGGAGCCTGAGCAGAAGAGAGATGCGCGAAGGAAGGGTTCACGGGCGCCGTACTTCTCCCAGATGATGGAGGCGAGGACACTGACGCCGCCAACGGTCATGGGCACGATTGTCTGCACGCTGCGCCACTCGAACTGGATACCGGCCCAGGACATGCCGACGAGAAAACTGGTCAGTCCTCCAATGAAGAGGAAGCCACCGAGCCAGTCGACTCTGGACAGCTTGGAGCCTAAAGAGGTCTTCTTGGTTGTGAGCTTGACAAAGGCGGGCACAAGAAGCAGGCCCATTGCGCAAAAGGGGAACTATCATTGGTTGATATCAGTCATTGAATCC